TATTTATGAAAATGTTGCAACAATATTATGAAATTTATTAGAACAAAAGCATTTAATTTGTGGGGCACTGTCATTTACTAAATTCTTCAGTGATTAATAGAGTCTTTAGTTTCTTCAAAATTGATCTTGGGCCATTTTAGTTTGTAAGGCTCAAAACAATTTTGTGAGACATATAAGTAAGACTCATTATGTTCAGTTCATTTAAAGTGAACATTGAAGTTATTTGGGAAGTTATGGTGTATGATTAAGATTCCAAATTTATGGACTTAGACCTTTGGCTTTTTGTCTAAGTTATTGGAATGCTTCTGTGACTTGACTATCTTTTGGCTATTTTTGATAAGTGGGAGTGACAGACGTGTCAACTCCAAGCTCTTAGCCGTTAGAGATAGTACTTAAAGTTAACTTATAAAGAAGTCATGGAATATAGTTAGCATTATGCTAACATTAAGAGATCTCTACTTAAGGCATGCTTATAAAGTTTTAGAGATCATACAGTGTACTCTTTTGTACAATTTGGATGCGTTTTCTCCTTCAGTTGTGCACATAATGTATTTTGAGAAACATCCCTTAAGGTACCGAGAATAAACATAGGGTTTGTTCATTAAGGACCTAAGTTGGAGAATTAAAATGCATGTGATCATAATGGATACTACTCTGATTAAATAGAGGACATGTCACTATGATTCGTGTGTTTTGTTCTTTGATGATGGTTATGCTAGTACTTGCACCAAGTGGGAGAATGTAAGATTTTCCCTTATAATATATATTGATATTATATATTAGGGCCTTAATTAAGTGGTGCAAGTTGACTAGGCTTATTAAGTGGTCTGGTTGGACTTAATAACTAGTAGTTGTTAGTCAACCAAACTCTGTGCCTAATATAACCTGGATTGATGGGATACAGGATTATGGATTAGTTAGCACATTCAGTTACGGTACTCAGACTGCTCAGTAGATACCAATACACCATCTAGGGTTCTGAGTCAGGTCTGAGACAAAACATGGCTAACGGTCTACCGTTAAGAGGCAACACAACAGGAACATCAACTATGGCTGGAGATCAACACGGCTATGCTTCCGCTATCATACGAGGTCAGGTTTCTCGTATACTATGGTTTATTATAGTTAGACTATTGTATATCTAACAATGGACTCTCAGAAAAGTAGCTACAGCATACCTGTCACCCCAGCAGTGTTATTGTAACAACCCAAAATTTAATTTCATAAATTCAATTTTAAGAAATTCCAAAATAAAAATTTTCACTCCATTACAAATTTTTGCGATCTATTGGTGTTTGAATAAATTATTTTGAACACATTTTAAATTAATTCAACACCAAAACTTATTTTTAATCCAAAATCCTAAATTTTCGGGTAAAGTTTTAGATTGAGAAACCAATCTGAGTGAGACCGGGAGAATTCTGAGAAGCCTTAAACAAGTGTTCATCTAGAAAACTTTTTGAGAAAATTCTTTTTCAACCCCAAAGTATTTAAAATAGCATTCTAACCATTGGTCCATGGAGCATGGTGGACCACTAAGCATCCAAAACCCTTTCCTGATTCATTTTCTAACCAATGGAAATTACATTTTTATCATCAACTAATCATATGGGATCAACCTAAGGTTTTGTGTTCCTATAAATAGAACACTTATCAGATTTTTTCCACCTTGATTCTCTTCCTTGTCTTCCCCAAGCCAACATTGCAAGAAAACACAATAAGCTTCCATTTCTTCATTCTTCTACTAGCTTCTTTGAATTCTATCTTCCATCTCTAAAAACTTAGCTCTTAAGGCTTGTTGTTTTGGTTGTTTGTTATGTCTAGGAGGTGAAGGAGGGTGTAGCTAGTTGGGAAGAAGGAGAAATCCCAACAAAAAGGAGGAGTCTACAAAGGTATAACCCATGGACTCCCTCTTAAATCTTTGACTTTGTGAAGACTAATATCTTGAGTAGAAATGGTGGATTTTTGTTGTGTTTGAACTAGGAAGTGATCTAGTATTTGTCTATGATGTGTTAATCATGTTTTGGATGTTTTGGACTTGCTTGAATGTGTTTTGCAGATGAAAAAGATCATCTGGTGCACACACAGTGTTCACCAGATGAATGAGATGGCCCTAGTCGCAGCCCATCAAGGGAGCCGCCGGCTAGTACCGTGGCCAACCGGGTCTAGGGCACGGCCCTAGGAGAGGGTCGTTGCCTAGGCCCGGTGTTGTGGCGGGTTGAGAGGGACGGGCCATGAGGAGCCCCGCCCCCTGGTCTCTGAGAGTGATCTCTGCAGTGGCCGGACCCTTGTTGCTCAGCTACGTGTCGTTTCAGGCCGGTGTCATGGGCCCTTGTAGCTCGGTACCTCGGGGCAGTCTCGACGCACGTTTTGGCTTTTATTTCGTTGAATTTCGATTAGAAATGAGCATGTTATGATAGATTTAGTGATGTTTTGCTACACAGTAAGTGTTTTGAAGTTCACTGTGAAAGAGAAATGTCTTGCCTTGTTGCCTGATGTTATTTTTGTGTTGAGTAGAGAAGCATGATCACTTTGAAAATATGACTTATTAGAAAAGCATGACTAGAATGTGTTGTTTGATCAATGGGATTTGGAGTATATTTTGATAATGGAATTATATAGAATTTGTTATGTTGCAAGCCTAGCCTGAGATTGTATTCTTGAGAATTGTATGAATTATATACATGGATTTGGAGCATGTTGTAGAGTATTTTTGCATCTCAAGTATATCATGTTTTAAAAAGTGCATAAGTGGCCAACGTGAGCCTAAGTATTACTTTCAAAATCCATAAGCATGTAGTATATCATTATTTGATGCATTGAGAAATTGTTGAGTTGTGGCATGCATAAGTTTAGTGCATGAGAGATATATTTATATATTATCTATATCGGTGAGGTTTTGGAGGACCCCGTTTGGACTATGTCCTCTCGGATGATTTTATGGACATTGCGGTCCCAGTATATGTAACGCGGCGTATTCCCACGTTACGAGGTTGGAAACTGCCCGCCAGTCTTGGAATCCTGGCCAGGGGGTGTACACGCTAATAGTTCGATACCTGATTCCACAGAGTTTGAGCATGGAACCAAGAGAGTGGTTCGGTGGACGAGCAGAGTATTAGGTCGGCTAGATACCGTGCCCGGATAGGTTCATTCACACTATGGTGAAGTTCCTACCTCGTCCATTTATAAAGAAAGAGTGAGTCATTGCGACTCTAAGAAAGAAAGAAGCGAGTCATTGCGACTCTAAGGAAAGAAAGAAAGAAAGCAAGTCATTTATGACTCAATGAGACCTCCATAGAAAGTATTCTATTTTACAAACGAGTGTATGAGTATATTATAGTATTGCACGAGATTGCATTTGAGTACATTTATAGTATTACACGAGATTGCATTTGTGTATAGTATTGCACGAGATTACATTTGAGTAGAGTATTGCATGAGATTGCATAATGAGAATGATGAATCAAGATTGTATATCGAGCATGATTGCTTTGGTTACATTTTGAAGTCTTGTATATCCAGTTTGCATGATGAGAACTTGAAAGCATGACGATAGTTTTCGTATTGTTTAATAATATGAAATTGCTTGTAAGCATGAGATCGTTACGATGAGTTCGCTGTGATATTTATGTGTTGGAATCTTTATGTTGATTAAGTCATTTGTATTGAAGCATGCTTGTTGTTATTATAGGTTGCAAGCATATAGAAAGCCTGTGATGTATCTAAGTTGTTTATGTGTTGAGATTGTTTGACTTAGTATGTGAACAAATGTTTTCCAAAGTATATTCTATAGTACTTTACAGGGTTGAGTGTGGTTATACTTAGCTTCATGCTAACGGGTGTTTTCTTATTTGTCTATGTATTGTTTGTAAAACCCCTTTCAGGTGGGCCCAACGTTGAGATGTGATCGAGTTAGACTAGTCTAGTAGTTATAGAAGTCTAAACTCTTATTACTTTTATTATGATCTTATTGGTTGAATTTATAGACTTATGTTGTTGATGATGTTTGATGATGTAGACTTCGGGGTGTCTTTTTCCCCCTTATGACTTTCGGTTAAATTTATGGATGTTAGTTATTTTATCTTTATTTCTAGTTCTACCATTAGCCTGTGCAATCACCACAGAGTGGTGGTTATGGCGGTGACATTCCCACTAATTTTCTTATTAAGTCGTTTATCCACTGCTTAGTTTATGTTAATTGTGGTTTAGAATTATAATTAAGATTTAAAAAAAGTGGGGTGTTACAGTTATGGCTGAAAGTAATACTGGACTTGTGATAGTTTATTGCCTGCCCACTCAAAGCTTCATAAACCGACAAACATGGGCTTATCTTTCCTGCCTCCTGCTCATTGGCCTCAAAAAATAAACAAATAAGGTGAGAGCGGGTCACCCTGGCGTAACCCCCTAGTAGGAACAACCATACCCCCTACCTGCCCATTCACCATGATATTATACCGGACAGTGGTCATAAACAACATAATCAACTTGACTCACTCACGTGCAAACCCCAGCTTAAACATCATACCTTCTAGAAAAGCTCATTCCATTATGTCATAGGCCTTTACCATATCTAACTTTAAAGCTGCCCACCCTTCTCTACCTCCCTTCTTTCTTCTCAAATAATGGCCCACCTCTACAGCAACAAGGATATTGTCAATAATCAAACGCCCGGGTATAAAGGCACTCTGGGACTCGGAAACAATTTAGCCCAATAACAGCTTCATCCTATTAGCCAAGAGCTTGGCTATAATTTTGTAGATCACATTGCATAGCGCAATCAGTCTCAAGTCACTTACTAATTCTGCGGCCTGTTTCTTTAGAATCAAGACAACGTTGGTATCATTCAAATGATCAGGGAAAGCAGCATTATTCAAACAGCCTAGAACAAAGCTAGTAACATCCTCCCCCACCACATCCCAAAAAGATTGATAAAAAGCAGGATTCATACCATCAAGGCCATGAGATTTGTCTGGTCCCATACTGAATAAAGCCTCCTTTACCTACTCAGCTTCAAAGGGCCTCATGAGAATGTCATTTTGTTCTTGAGTCACACGCGGTTGGACAAAATCCAGCACCTCCCCTACCATACAACCATTTGACTTGAAAATATTATTATAGTACTCCAGAACAATAGAACTCATGACATCACCCTCCACCCACGTGCCATCACGATCCCTCAGCTTAGCAATCTTATTCTTTCGCCTTCTTGTCGAGGCATATTTATGGTAATATCTCGTATTAGAATCAGCCTCCCGCAACCAATGTTGTTTGGCCCTTTGTTTCCAAAAGGCATTTTCCTGATCCAATAACCTCATCAACCGGCCATCCAACTCCTTGATTAAATGTAGAGAATCCTCATCCCGATTACCCCTTAGCCGTTCTAGTTCCTTCCTTATCACCCCAATATCCCTACCAAACTTATGATGTCTGTCACCACCCCATCTACAGAACTTATCCCCACACCCGATCAGCTTATCCTGCAGTCCCACCTGAGCCAAACCATCCCAGGCACTCTCCACCACCTCCCTACATCCCCTATCCAATAACCATACATTCACAAAGCGAAATGGTGGCCTGCCTCTGGGGGCATCCAAACGGGAATGGATGTCCAAAAATAGCGCAGAGTGGTCCGAAGTTGTTGTGCTAATATTATAAACATGAGCTTGTATATGAGCATCACACAAACCCTCCTTAGCCACCACCCTATCAAGCCTCTCCTCCACCCAGTCCATAGTCCCCTTTCCCCGCTCCCAAGTGAAAGGGTAGCCTACCGTGTGAACCTGCAACAACCCACACTCGGTCAAAGTGTCACAAAAACCATGTATCAGGCCCTCAAGGTGTGGGTGCAAGCCCCATTTTTCAGACTGTGACATGAGGTCGTTCAAATCCCCCATAACTACCCAATAGTGACAAACCCTTCAACGATTTCAACAGCTCCCATGCATCCCGCCTCCTACTTCTCTCAGGATAGCCATAAAAACCAGTTAAACGCCATTTTGTTGCCCAAGTATTACAACTGCTAAGTCGACATGTGTGCCTGAGTAATTCAATATGGACACCGCGTCACTAAACCTCTACAACACTGCCAGTCCACCGCTCAAACCAACAGGCTCCACACAGAAAGCACCTTCAAAACCCAACCTTACACGCAATCTCTCCACTCGAACTTTTCCTACCTTTGTCTCCATTAAAAACACTACATCGGGCTTCCTCCTGGTCACTAAGTCCGTGACCTCACGAACTGTACGCGGGTTGCCCAGACCGCGACAGTTCTAACTTAAAACACTCATTGCGGCTGGCGGGCCTGAGCCACAGGACCCGCCGGAAACAAAAGTGCCGCCTCCCCCATCACCGTGTTGCTCGCCACCCTACCACTAGCAGCGCCATCTTCCCTCCTTCGTTTTGGGTTAACCATTACCGCCTGCTCCTCCTCCCTGTCGGACAAAACACGGCTACTGCCTACTCCATGTGGCTCCTTCTCCACCACTCCACGCCCCTCTACCGCTACCGGTGCCCCCTTCCCTGCCGAATCAGCCACTGAGCCCCCACAGTAGTTGAGGCCCTCCCCGAGCCGATTCGTAGCCACGGACCATAGGGATAACCAGTGTGAGCAAGCTGAGAGTTAAGGGCCTTAATACAGAACTTATCAGTATGACCAAGCAACCCGCAAAAAAAGCAGAAAGCATGTAGCCTTTCATATTTAAAATTGACCCAAACCCATGTTCCATCCCTCTTCACCAGCTTCATCCTTTGCTTGATAGGCTTATACACATCCAAAGCCACTCGGATTCTATAAAACGCCATCAAGCCAGTCCCCCTATTGACAGGGTCCAACATGATAAAATTTCCCACAAAATTACCGATCTGTTCCAACACAAGATCGGTAGTATACGCTCCAAGTAGGTCGTGCGCTTGAACCCATATTGGCAATCTATCCAAGGCGAGAAACGCTGGTATCTCCCCTGGTTCGACCAATCTGCAAACGAGAGAATTGTTATCAAAGGACCATGGCCCTTCCTCCAGCACCCGTTTAACATTGGACTCCAACAAGAAAACAAAGAGGAAAAGATTTGGCTAGACCGATGTTACCTGCACACCACGAAGACGTCTCCAAACGGAGGCCATGACATTTTGCATTACCTCAAATTTGATATGCTTGTCAGTCAGAAATCTTCCCACAATTGTCCGTGTCTGCTCTGGGGGGTCCATGATGATCCAGGGTCCTGGTCGCGGACATACGGTTATATACCGACCTGCTCCTCCTCCAAATCAATCTCAGAGCAACGTTGTGCTAACTGGGCAACATCCATGGACATCAGACTGGCGGTGAAACAGAATCCAGACTGATCAAAATCAAGCTAGTAGAGAGAATCTATGGGAAGTAAAAGTGACGATCAAACCGCAAAAACCCTAGACCATGCTAGAGAGGAAAAACTCTAGACCATGCTAGAGAGGAATTTTAATTTCTTTTTAATTTTTTGTGTTTAATAGTACTTTTAGTGTAGTTTTTAAATATATAAATTTTGAATACTAATACTAAACTTAATATTATGAAAAATTGAATTAAAAATAACTTCAGTCAAATATCGTTAACCCAACTAGACACATAAAATGAGACGGATACAATACAACATTAAGTACAAAACAAAATCCTAATTTTTGTTGTGCTTATAGTCGCATGGTGTATAGTTTGAAATTTATCAAGGGTAAAAAAAGGGAGGTATGGATTTAGGTTTGTTGTGAAAATAATACTAGTATACAATAAGTATTTGGAAACTTGTAGGTCAATTAAGACATATCTCATAATTTACTTTCTCCATTAATCTCCATGGCGACAATTGTGAGGGAGTGAGGGACCTTAAGTCTTGAAATGTACTAGTTAGGAATTCCTTACCTCTTTCTCTTCCTCCTCCACGAGGTGTCCTAAACAAAAATTGAGTATCAATCAATGGCTTCCTAAATTATAAAATTTACTTTATTTTTATAAAGATGTAAAAATTTAAAAATTTCCATTAATCTCTTTAACAAATATGAGTACTAAGACAAACTTCTTAATTATGTTTTTCAATAAAATATTTTATATATTCTATTAGGGCATAGCATTACTCAATAAAGATTAATCACTATTGTCAAAGTTATTATGAATAGGTCCATCTCAATGACTCAAGAAGGAGGGTATTCATTTATAAGATAAGCAAAAACTTGTATCAGACCGTCTTACAAATTTTTGTCTGTGACACAGGTCAAGTTGTAGACAAGTATTACAATTTCAGAAGTGATATTATAATATTTCTCATTGTTAACAATTAATTTTATCTTAAATAGTATCACAATTTCATATATAAGTATTACATTATCCATTATAAGTAACAATTTATTTTTAATTCAAATTGATATTAAATTTTCTATAATAGGTATTGCAATTTCTTTCATAAGTACAGAGTAACATTTAACACACAAGTATTACAATGTTTACATTATAATTACATTTGTAAGTATTACAATATTTATTATTAGTAACAAACATTTTACCTTAAATAATATCATAATTTCACATATAAATATTACCATATCTATTATAAGTAACAATTTATTTATTTTAAATTAATATAAAATTTTCAGTAATAATTACTCCGGAGTATTATGAATTCTATTATAATTAACAAACAATTATTCTAGATTTGACTCATCTCATAGATTATTAAGATTCATGAGACGGTCACACACAAGTCTGACTTATAAGATAATATATCCCATCTCCCTAGGACATAATTCAAAGGTTCAAAAGTTATCCTAAAAGTCTTGTTCCAGTGGTAAGGTGGGAGTTCGATTCGCTCCGAAGACATGGGCCAGAGGTAATTGAGAGACTCAAAGCCTACACGCGCATGTCCAACAACCAAATAGCCAGCACAACGAGAATATTGGTTCAAATCAAAGAAGGCGACGCGCGATCAAGCCACAAGCTTTATTTCAATTAGATTAGACAACAAGCACTTTGAAATGTATAAATTGTGAGCCCCAACTCCTTTTTTTTTTTAAAAGTATCAATACCACCCTTTCTCAACCTATTGAAGCACAAAGAATCAATATCGTCCCCACTGAAGATCAAATCGGTAAATTATATCGTGTACCGCGGTGCATAATGGATTATGCGCCGAGCTTCCAAACGATGTCGTTTTGTTTAATGAAAAGAAATACACCCGTTTCGCGTCGTTCCACAAAAAGTAACTCTGTTATTCAGTTTCATTTTGTATACACTGCAGTTTCAATTCAACACAACTACAATTTCATTTCGATATAACTACAGTTTCTTTCGATATTTATACACTCAAATATGTGAAAATGTTATTTAATTTTATTTTATATACACTATAGTTTCATTAAAACACAATTACATGATCATTTCGATATAACTACAGCTTCATTGCACAATATACACTCAAATATGTGAAATGTTATTCAATTTCATTTTATATACACTGCAGTTTCATTTCAACACAACTACAGTATCATTTTGATATAACTACAGTTTCGCTCGGTAATATACACTCAAATGTGTGAAATTGTTATTCAGTTTCATTTTGTATACACTGCAGTTTCATTTCAACACAATTACAGTTTCATTTCATTTCAATTGCAGTTTCACTTGATAATATAAAAATAATATGTGAGGCAGTGTCAATTTAGATATACTGTAGTTTCAGTTGGTAATTAATACACCAAACATGCACGCTCTGTTAACTGTAACAGCGCACCGTTTCTTTACTTAAAAAAAATGACGCCGTTTTTGGACCGTGGTGCACAATGCATTGTGCACCGCGATCACAGCATAATTGTTGAGATCAAACCCATCACCTCCCATTTGAGAGAGTCACTTCGTGCCACTAGTCCACAACTAGCCCAACTCTCTAACAAGTTATTTTCCTCAATATTTTTTATGTGCTAATCTCTAACATTTTTTAATCTAAAACCCAACCATCACTTTAAATTAATTTTATAGTTAGATGTATGTGTGATATCACTTTTCTGATGTGATTATAATTTGGCTCCCAATAATTGACAATTAATCAAACTTAAAATTTACAAGTCAACAATGCAATTTTCTTACATACGTCAATTTGATTTTTATTTTTTATTTTTTAAAAAAATCTAAACATCAAGTTTAAGAATGATGCTAGCTACAACATTTTCCTTGTAATTCCACTTTTTAATATTTATCTCTTTATGTGATAATATATAATTGTTTTTTCATATTTGATTAATAAGTATATTCATTTTTTGGGGTGACAATTGATGAAAGAAGTTTGCAGCACTACTTAAATTTGTGCAGTGACTAAACTCCACTCTTTGTGTAATAATTCACAAACTAGGCAAGAGAGATAAACTGCACTATAAAAATCTTGTGCAACGAGCTTAATTGAAAAAGTTAAATACTTGACCTTCAATTATGATAATCATGTTCCACCAACACGGTCATCTTTTCTAAAATACTATATTCATTTTTTTATAGGATCAACCAATTAACAATAGCTAATAAATAAAAGATATTTTATTGTCACATTATGGTGAGCATTATGTGCGATATAGGTAAAGGAAAATGTTGTGTATTCCCATTTTTTACTCACAAGTTTTATTTCAATATATAAAACTTTGATGTAAACACTTGTATTAGAACCACATAAAAAATAGATTATAGAGCTCGCCACATTAGGGAGTAAATTTAAGGGAGTAAAATTTGTGAGTACATGTAGTAGAACTCTTACGTGAAATTACGAAGAAAAAATTGAATATTATTCTTTACAAAATCACATGAACCTTGAAATTATGAATTTCCCTCTGGGCTCTAGCTAAATCATCATATCAAGATAAATCTTCGCACAAGAAGAAAAAGAAA